TGACGATGCGACTTCGTGCCTATTTGATAAACCTTGGTGACAATGTGACTTCGCGCCTGCTGTGTAAACCTAGGTGACTATGAGACGTAGTGCCTATTGTGTAAACCTTGGTGACTATGAGACGTAGTGCCTGTTGTATAAACCGTGGTAACAAATGGAATTTATGCCAGTTCCTTAGGTAAATCCTTAGGAATGAATGAATAAAGGATAGTTGGTTCTTAGGGTAAACCCTTGAGAAAATAAAGGAGATATGGGGATGGTTATTTAGGTTGATTGTTTGATAATTGAATATAATAAATGTATTATTGTGGGTTGAAAACCCTATATGCTCACCAGGCTCCCAAGCCTGACCCACTCAATTTTCTTTGCATTACAGGTAATGGTACAAGGGTATAAGTTGGTGGACTTGACGAGAGATTTTGGATTATAGATCGGTAGTTATAAATAACTGTTGTAAGGTCTATTTTATAGTGTTTATGCTTGTGGTTTGTATCGGAACATGACATCCCGAGGTTTTATTATTTAATGAAAATACATTGTCTTGAGAAATGTTTTGATAAATTTTATCATATTTTGTTTTGGGAACAAATTCCACAGCTCTTTTAATCAAAGGATTACTCTGATTTTATAAAACAAAGCATAAATAAATCGGTCTTTTCTGGCTGTGAAATTGGAGATGTCACACCTTATGTGTTGATTATGATTATTTTTCTGTTAGTAGTCAAGTTATTGAGTTGCATGAATATCATCTTAATTGCTTGAATCATACGGATTTGTGAAAACAATATTGTATGCCTAGTATTAGTGATTATGAACCTAGGATTAACTAGAAAAATAAGTAAATCAATGTGTAAGCATGTGGGATCAACATCCACACATGAGTTAATTAAATTGATAAATTTTTAGTTAATATTACAAGTATTACTTGATCTGAATCTGTAATATTGGAAACTTGTTAGTTTAATCAATTAGCCACTTTTTGAATTAATTAGTTTACTAAGGATTAGTAATAATGAATATGAACCTAATCACATTAAATCGGTAGCCAACGACAAATTAATCCATTCCACTTGCCATGAAATCAACCATAGGAATAAATGATTTGAACCTGAACAGAAGTCTCTTTTAATATTGAATGTAGTTACCTCTTATTTGCATTAGTTGTTAGTTATTTTAGATTGAGTGTTAATCATTTATTTAAGTTTCTAGTCTTGAAAAACTAGAGAAAACCCTTCTTTTTATTATTAGTTTTAATTAGATAATTTTAGTAGTTAGTTTGATTATTACCATTCCCTGTCTTCGATACCCTGGTTGCTTGAATTAAACTGCTATCGGTAGGTACACTGCCTGCGTGTGTTTGTTTTTAACTGAGTTTGTTAGGATTAAAACTAGATCGTTTTACACACATCAATTCCCATTCATCATATGTCCTAAGATCAAAGGATTCCAACACTTCATCCTTTAGGAGTTGGGCGATGCATTGTTTGTGTTTATGAGCCAAAGACGACAATGCCACCAACATGCCTTGTCCATACCATTAGACGAATCAATATGAAACACATTATTACATATATTATCAATACAAATCACAGTTTCATACGCAACATTACAAGGTAAAGTTTTAAAAATAAAAACACCATTATGAAAAGCATAAATATATCCAATATCATTATCAAATGAATATCTAAAACCTTTTCTGAAGAATGCATGAAATGAGATAATGTTTTGCGGCGTATGCAACGAATAACATCAATTAATCAAATTAACCCTAATACCACTACCGAGCACAAGTGCATAAGTCCCAATCTTGGTAACGGGTGAAAATCACCTATTCTCCATGATCAGGTTCATCCTTCCATGCTCCACCTCCTCTCTTTCTCTTAGTCCCTGCAAATCAGAACTAATGTGGAAACCACATCCTGTGTCAAGGACCCAAGAATGAGAAATTTGTGTGTTATTAACTTGAATAGTGTAAATACCTGAAGAGGACGCCTTGACTTTACCATCCTTCAAGTCTTGCAAGTATTTCCGACAACTTCTTCTCTAATGACCCTTTTCGCCATAGTGGAAGCAAGTGGCCTCCTTTGGATCACTGATCGCAGAGACATCAAAGTTGGGCTTCGACTTGGACCCACTGCTAGACCCTCCAGCATGGGCCTTCCTTTTTATGTTGGATTGAGAAAGAGCCTTCCTTTTTTTCCCTTTTCCAGATCTAATGGTCAGGACATAAGCACTTGTTTTAGAAGGGCATGATTTTTCTTCATCCTTGACTCAGCAGTTTGCAACAAGTTATGGAGCTAGATCAATGTCGTCACCATGTTTCTCAAATGATAAGTCAAGACGAACTACTCATAACTAGGAGTCAAGGAGTTAAGGACCATGTAGTTGCTCTATGTACCTTTGCATCTTTTGTACTTGAGCACATACATATTCTCCCTCCTTTAGCTTGCATGCCATTAGAGACTTGACCACTTCATAATGCTCTTGTCTTGCCTTTTTGTGGAACTTTTCCGCAAGGTTTAGACTCATCGTATATGGCCAGTAATCCTCATAGAACTTGGCCAACTCAGATATCATAGTGGCCACCATGATGCATGCAACCTTTATGGCATCACCAGAATGTTTGTTGTAGGAAGCAATTTCCACAGGAGTAACGGTGAAATGATCGATCTCGAAAAGAGACTTCTCAAGGACATATTCTTTGCCTTCATATCGAAGATTCATCTTCAAGTTTCTCATCCAACCCATGTAGTAAGGACCAAAGAGCTTCTCTTTCGACATAATCGAGAGTAGGAGAAGTTTGAGTTGGAGGGGCCGGTTTGAGAGCAACGAGTTCACTATTTCCAGACATCTATAAAAAGAGACATAATTTTAGCGAGTGATATAAATCCTTAATATTTAACCCAAAATAAATATTCAAGGTTAGGATCTAAAATACAATTCACAACAAAGAAGAATGATATCGTAATCTAATTGCAAATTTATTAAGGTAGGTAATACAATTTTACCAATTTCAATCTAATATGAAATTCCTAGATCGTTTGAGATTCATTGAATCTTATCAATAGCATGTTTAATATTTTCTTTGTTCCTTTTTTTTTTTTTTTTTTTTTTTAAATTTCTTTATCATTTTAAATATATAATAATAATAATAATAATAATAATAATAATAAAAACAAATATCCTCACCCCTCCCCCTCCCCTTCCATGTCCCCAGCTTCTGCAACAATATTCGAAAGCACCACCACATGTCACCTCCAGCTCCTCCAGCACCACCACCTATCAGCACCAACAACTACGCCACCACATCCTATCACCGCAAACATCTTCCCCTTCCTTTCCCCGGTTTTCTTCTATCTTCGTCTCCATCTTCTCACCTATTCCTGACATCCATCCAAAACCCCAAATTGGTGAACCAAAATCAGACACCAAACCACTATCCCGTATCTTCGTTCTCCCCATCCGCCTTAAGAACACTAGAGACCATCACCAATTTCAATCTATCTGTCTCTTGGTGAAACCCAATACCATCCTATTAATCAAATTGATCCACCCACTACTCCCATTGAAAGTTATTTCTATGAACCATATCCATTACCATCGAAACAAAATTTTAATATTTGAAACCTTAAAATACCAACTAGATTCTTTTTTTGGAACGACAAATCTATTCTACTCCTAATTCTCCACCTATGTCCCTCACGGGACTTGAACCCTCGACCTCAATGAGGGAGAGCAACACCGGATACCGATACCGCTGGGCTAGAAGCCCTTCTCACTACAATCAAAGTCACAACATATCTTCATCTTCAAAGTTGAAACAAGTACTAATTGAAATCAATTCCAAGACGAATCCATCGAAATAAAATCAAACCTAATATGACCTGAGACTCAAAATCAAAATCGAAATCGGAATCAGAGTCAATTTCTAGATTTGATGACGATGAAGAAGGAGGAAACACAAAATCAAAATTGAAATCAAGTATTTCTCTTTCTGTATTGTGCGACATCTCCATCTTATTTGGTATCCTTTTTCCTTTCATCAAGTTTGTCTCCCTTAACCTATTTCTCTCTCAATATCGTGTTACATCTCCATCTCACTTGGATTCTATCTCGATATCGCATCTAAACAAATGTAGGTGTGTGTGTTTTGGGTTAGAGAGAGAGAGAGAGAGAGAGAGAGGCTGCATGCACGAAATGCCGATCAAATCTGTTAAAGGAAGCCTAATCAAAGTTGTGTTGCCATCTAGCGAATGTTTAGATTGTGAACAGTTCAGTATCAAGTTTGAAACGTAGTGGTCGGCCTTCTAGAAGCTTCGCCAGAAGCGACTAGTCGTTGGTCTGCAATATAAACCCCGGTCCACAAGCACAAATCTTGGGGGGGGGGGGGAGAGAGAGAGAGAGAGGTATTTTGCAGCGTAACTAAGAGAGGTAAAGATGAGATTTTTTTTTTTTTTTTTTTTTTAAAGTTATAAATAATAATAAATAATATTAGATTAGTTAAAAAAATAAATATCCAAGGGTGTTATGGTCATTTTAAATGTGGCACGGACTACATTCGTAACAAAAAAAAACATAGCAGGGACAACGACATGTGCAAGTTCTAAGGAAACGAGAAACGGTCCGAATTAATTTTTAAAAATAAAGACTAAACGTGCATTTTGAGACCTTCCCGAGGGTGACCAGTGTAACTTACCCCGCTTTTCTTATTCTGTAAAAAATACCATGATAGGCCTAGATCCCATGAGCCCGGAAGAATTTTATGAAAGAGAATGTAGTTATGAGTAGGCCCATAGACACAGAAACCCAATAGAATTTCATCGAGTAAGTTGTTTACCGTAGAAGAGAGAAAAACTTACAATTCACAGTTACTTTTTATTAATTTAAAATACTGTAGTTTTTTAATTTATCAACATAATAAGAGAAAAAAGTTTATCTATCATAAATGATTTAGAGAAATATTTATTTGAAACTTTTATGAAAAAACTTTTTACAAATATAGCACTCTCAAATGCTTCTTTAAAACCTTGCTAAACAACTTGATAATCAAATGTTACAAAAGATACATTATATATAATCCACCCAAGTCCAACATCACAGCTTATAGCATAACAAAATCCAATTCTTGAATTGCCATTCAAATCAAATATCATAATCAGTAATCAATGCGAATTGCTTGAGCTTCGATTAGCGACAGAGTTAGGGTTTTGTCTATTTTACAAAACAGAACGAAAACAATTGCTTCCACACCACTTTGCATTTGATGGAATAATGAAACCTTTAGCTTTCAAACGAGAAAGAGCCTACCAACATAAAAAATACAAGTGAGAAGACAACAGAAGGATACTTGAAGCATGTATATATCAAAGGACAACAAATAAACTACTACTACAACTAATGAAAGATCATAAGAAATTTTCAAGCACTTAAGTTGTGAAAGCAAAAGAAATTTTACCTCACAACATAAAACCCCAATTTTAAGCTCCTTAACATGGCCAAGTTTTAGTATGAGTCCTTTAAGCATCTCTTCTTCTGCTACTTCAGGTGTTGTCTCCCAATGTCCGAGTTTTTTATAATTGTAATCTAAGTTAGCTTCGACTAAGGAGGACACATTTCCCAACAAAACCTTCAACAACCACAGATTTCCTTGGATTGTTAGTGATTGAATATCAGGAGCATTGATTTCAATAATATCCAAAGCATAATCAGATCCATCCTCAGGATCAAAGTATCCAGAGAACACTAACTTCTTAACGCTCTTTGAAGTGACATCAACCCGATTATAACCATAGCAACCCTTCAATACCAAAGTTTCCAATTCAGGACTACCTGATAACATGTTTTCGATCAAATCTTCATCTAATTTCTCATTACTAATACGCAAACTCCGAAGATTCTTCCAACTAATCGCCCCAGATGGATTCAACACGCAGCCTGATAATCTCAGATGAGTAACATTCGAACTGAAGAAAAAATTTTGATCTAACTGAAACTTAGCTTCCAAACCGATAACACATAACTCCAATATAAGCTGTTCAACGTTACAGCTCATAGCATAACGAATCCAGTTTTTGACTTGCGACTCGATTTCAATGTCGTAGTATATACACACAGCGAATTTATTGAGCTTTAGTTGGCGACGTTGAGTTAGGGTTTTGTCAACGAATGAAACGAAATTGGATCTTGAGGTAGGGATTTGGCGATATTGGGTTAGGCGATCATCTGAAAGCTTGAAAATGAGAGTAGGTGTCGACATCCAAAGATGTTTCCATCGCTTGGAGAGTGTACCTGTTCTAATTGCGTCTTTGGTGGAGGGTAAAAGAGATAGGATTTCAAGAAGTAAGCAATCTTGCAACGCACTGATTCGATCTTCTCCCTCTTCTTCAACGATTTCTTCAAGCTTTATCCGTTCTCGGGAAATTTGAGGCTGTTTTTGTCCTTCTTCCACCATTTTCATGGCGTCAAACAGAGCTCACGTCGCTTTTCCCTGTGATGAACAAAACCAGAAAATGTAATTACCAGGGGAAATGATGTTTTGCTTTGAACTTCTAGAATTTACATTTCAGTCCTTATGAGAAAAAGATTACACTATATAACTAATAATTTATTTAAACCACATCATACAAACCATGGTATTTCTTTATTGGAAAAACATGATAAAACGATAATAAAACCTACCATTCTTTTAGAAACAATATAACTAATAAATAATCCAACAAAATATCATTCTACAACGGCATATAATAATCATGAATAAAAACACCTAGTATTATGAAAGTGTGTGGTTTTTTATGAAAAAAATCTATTTAGTGCTACCTAATGATTAAAAAAAAGTAAATTTAGGTGATTATGATATAACGAATCCTATCATGCTTTTCTAATTTAAGTTAGAGTATCCGTTGTTTAAATTTTAGACCATGTATACTCCAGATCAAGCACTACAACTTTAATTACAAAATATATTGTAATTGTATGTTGTGACAATCATTTTATTTTACTTGTATTATTTAAATCACTTGATATATTCATTCGAAAATAAACTACAATAAGGTTTCAATAAACTATTGTAATCATCTAAAATTATCTTATAAAATCTTATATTTTTAATTCTCTATTAAAGTTTTATTTCTACAGAATTAAATCAAGCATATTTTTTCCGGTCAAAGTTTAATTTTTAGCAAAAAAGTTTTATTTTCTTACTTTAACCAAACCCAAAATCAAGTTACGACATACAAAACTCGGATTCGACTACAAGATTTTTTTTTCTAAAACTTTAATTCAACTTAATCATGGTAATCAATCTTTTATTAGGACTAAGACAAACATGATAAAAATCCTGCATATTAAAAAAAAGGGATAATGACTTGAAAGGGTAACGAACTTTCGACTTTTGTCACATTTAGTCACTAAACTTTTTTTCGTTATCTATTTGCCATTGAACTATTGAAACTGTTCACATTTTACCCTTATGACCGGCTATAAGGGTAAAATGTGAACAATTTCAATAGTTCAATGGCAAATAGATAACGAAAAAAAGTTTAGTGACTAAATATGAACAAAATCGAAAGTTCGTTTCCCTCTAAAAAGTTCAATGACTAAATGTGAACAAACCTCCTCTTGTATTATGTTTTAGCAAATTATTTATTTTTGTTAAATTGTAGCAACATTTGTTGATGAAGAAATCTATGAAATAAAAAAAAACAAAACAAAACCCTGAATATATATTTAAAACAAAAACAAAAAAACCAAAACCGAAATAAAAAACCAATGGTTTGACATTTTCCAAAATAAAAAATCAAAATTTCCAATCTGATTTTGGTTTTACAAAAAAATGAATCATTCTCACTGATGTGAATTATGACCATTGGTTTGGCATGCGAAATTTGTGACATCCCATGAATATGTAGTTACAACATCGTCTGAACTCGTAATTCATAGTAAGGGGTTAGAGTACCATCACATGAATACGTAGTTACAACATCGCCTGAACTCGTAATTCATCACCTACATGTTATGGGTCTGCTGGTGTTTCCATTGGGTTGTCTAGAATAGTCCGTAGTCGCCATCTATACTCTGGTAGATGACTATATCGCCACATTGCTGGTTAAGGTTATGGTATCTCCTTTCATCCTACATCACATATTCATCATAATCTATTTACCTAATTATCACCACCTTTCTATCATCACTTATCTCTCATCATTTTATTTCATCACACACCAACTATTTCATCTACCCATGTTTCATCCGCAACATATTTGTAGATATAAAATAAATATACCATTTAAATCTTTTAAAACATGTATAAAATCGTTTATCCAGCATAGACAGCAAGTATTTAAATAATATGCACACATAACACGTAATTTATATAAAATACTTCATATCTAGTGTAAGATGAAAGTAACTATATATACCATAAAAATCCCATAAATGCTTCCTAACTTCGAACCCCAAGGTTTACTCTACTAAAACTTCATATTCTCGGCTCTCTGAACCTAGAAGGGTCCAGATCTATCACACCAAAAAGCTCAAGATAGCTCTTCCTCTCACTCTACACACTCAAGCTTGCTAGGGTTCTCACTTATGGGAAAGGTAGTCGCAATTGAAGGCCATAAGTGCCTTTAAATATGGCTCGGGCCCAAAGATTTAGGGTTTCTGCCAACAACGCGGACTCGTCGAGTCGCCTCACCGACTCGTCGAGTCCATTCATTAATCCGAGTCATCAGTCGCGACCTTACTCGACGAGTTGAGGCGTCAACTCGTCGAGTCTCTCTTCTTAATTCAAAAGAAAAATACTTAAATGATGATACCTGGAAATCCGGATGTTACATTTTGTTTTTTTTATTTCATAGATTTCTTCATCAACAAATGTCGCTACAATTAAACAAAAATAAATAATTTTGCTAAAACATAATACAATAGGAAGTTTGTTCACATTTAGTCATTGAACTTTTTAGAGGGAAACGAACTTTCGATTTTGTTCACATTTAGTCACTAAACTTTTTTTTGTTATTTATTTGCCACTAAACTATTGAAACTGTTCACATTTTACCCTTATGACCGGTAACAGCCGGTCATAAGGGTAAAATGTGAACAGTTTCAATAGTTCAATGGCAAATAGATAACGAAAAAAAGTTTAGTGACTAAATGTGACAAAAACCGAAAGTTCGTTACCCTTTCAAGTCATTATCCCTAAAAAAAATCACAGTCAAGCATTTCACCAAACACTTACTGTGCAGATAATTGGCCACGGTTTACCTGTACTGGTGATGAAACCCTGAAGAACCAGATCTCTTGAAACAAATGTGCTCATCCTTGTAAGACAATTTACGATAATCAGTTTTCCAAAGAAAACCTAATTCGTGAAAATTGCTATCAAACCAACAAACAAACCACATTACCATTATGTAAGAGTATGTTTTCAAAAGACGATGGAAAGAAAAAGTAATTCATGAGAAACGCAAAAGGGAACATAGGGCTTACAACTAAATGTCGGACAACGTCTTCAAGGAGAAAATAAAGATGTAAGTTTCAAGGAGAAAAGCAACGCTACAAATCCCAGTTAATCTTAGAACATGCGATGTCCTAACCGCAACCGTCACTACGATGCTGAACATTGATGCATCGTTTGCAGAATCACCAAGCTTTGCGAGTTGCGACGGCGCACCCGAAACCTAAGTAAGGCGGAAGGAAGCAGAGATAATTTTTCTGGATGTATAGTTGTGACGAAATTTAAGGCAATCAATAACTGAGAGATAGGAGCTGAGATCCATGAAATCGGGATAATCGAAGGCGATAAACGATAAGAATTCAGAAATTATGTTTAGCAAGAGATATGATCATGATGCGGATGTGGATTCTTTTAGTGGGCGGGAAAACGATTCATGATCATGATGTGGATGTGGATTCTCTTAGTGGGCGGGAAAACGATTCATAAGATGGCTGAAGATTTGACACGTGAAACAAAGAAGGTTTAGAAAGAAGATATGTGGCGGTTTAAGAGGCTTTTATTAGGGATAGGGATGGGAAAATTCCTCAAATAACTAGGGGAAGGATTTAACCATGAAAATCTGACTTTTAAAGAATATCACGAGATCCGTATAAAGGGCTTTGCAGATCCCTTTAACCCTCTGTGGAAAGGGGAATAGTAACGAAGAAATTAGGTGGCATGACTAAAAGACCAAAAATCACGTGGGTATCATAGTTTTGTAGAGGTGGCTCTGCGGAAGTCCTTGCTCCTCTCTGGAAGTGTAAATTCTCTGAGGAAATGGTACTTGCTCCTTTCCGACGGATCCGCAGGCTACACTCCGCGAAAATGTTGATTTCTCTGCGGAAAAGGTAGTTGTAGTCGTGTTTAAGCATTAATTGATGTTTTTATATGTTTTTTCAAGTTATTATCGTTTTTATGACTTTAGTGACCAAAAACATTTTTTTTTTCATTTTTATGAATGCCTTAATCACTAGAAGTCGTGTAACAACCCAAAATCCCAATAATTTTTTTTTTCATTTTCAAAAAGGAAATTACATTCATGAATTGTTTCCAAAATCCATGAAACAATAAACATGTTTAATTATCAGAGTAACAATCTCAGTGAGTGCGGAAAACAGTGGGGAGTGAATGTTGCGTCATCAAGTCGGGTATTTCCCTTTAGTCTTGGAACTCTAGAAGTACCTGAAACCACAATACAAATTGTAAGCAAAAGCTTAGTGAGTTTCCCACAATACCACATAACATACATACAATTGCCATGGGCTACCCCCATGGTCTAATATCCAAGTGCCATAGGCTACCCTCATGGTCTTTTATGCTATGGGCTACCCTTATGGTATTTTATACAAGTGCCTCGGGCTGCCCCCGAGGTCTTTCATACACGTGCCACGGGCTACCCCCGAGGCCTTTTAGAAAAGCAAACACATATACACTTATCATTTCGCTTGTCAAGTAATGAGTCAACATTGGTACCTTCGACCCATTGATATAGTGAGAAGACTCACCTTGGTCTGTTGGTAAATATTGACTGCTCGACTACCAATCCGACAATCTCACACTGAGTTTACAAAAATTACCCTAATTAGAATTAGGTCACAAACTTAAGACATGGGCCAAAACCCTAAGTCCAATTCCTAAAATAGGCCCCATTTCGCCCATTCCATAATGGGCCTATACATATTCGGCCCATCTACAATAACGGGCTCCATGGCCCAAATGGCCCAAACCATGACATGTAAGGCCCATAATAGAAAACAGGGCCCACGTATCGTTAACAGGCCAAGGCTCATAACTAGTTAAGGCCCAAAAGTCCTAAAAGCCCAATACTTATCCAACATCCCACTGGGCGTACGCACGACGTAATGATTAGTACGCTTAGCGTACTCGGTCTTCAGGCAATACGCGCAACGTACATCTTATTACGCCCAACGTACCAAGTTGTTAAGCACATTTAGCCATCAAGTGTTGTGACAACCTGAAATTTTTATCTTGTAT